CAGCCCACAGAGCATGCCACATACCACAGCACACAACAAAAACTCCAGCCCCAACAACTTCAAGTGTGAAATCCCCAAAACCCGAGAGCCCCAAAAGGACCAAAAAAAGGAATCCCTGAAACCACCCAGTCAGAAAGCCGTCCCACCACGTAGCACCACAACCAAATGAGACAGCCGCCCGCCCCACCAAATAAATCAAATTTATTTTAGGTTTAAAATCGGACTCCGATCCATTATGCTCAATTCGTAGATCCGAGCCATCCTGCGGGGATCGTCAGCTTCCTTTACAACTTACCTTTCTTGGAGAGGGTCCGGTGTAGCGGCAAGATGTGTCTCCCATGTAGATATTTCCCCCCTGAAGCAACTACACATGTCCTGGTTTCAGGCACGATCAATCGATTATAGAACTACTACAGTATACTGTACTGCTTCTTATGTCTGAAACCGGGACATGCACAGTTGCTTCAGGGGGGACATATCTACATGGGAGACACATCTTGCCACTACATCGGTGTCACCCCGTATAGGTTGCATGCCGACTATTCCCGCAGTGACACCGACCGCACGGGGTGACACTGGACCCGCTCCAAGAAAAGGTAAGTTGTAAAGAAAGCCGACAATCGCCACAGGATGGATCGGATCTATCCTGCGGGGATCATCGGCTTGCTTTACAACTTACCTTTTAGTGGAGCGGGTCCGGTGTCACCCCGTGTGGTCGGTGTCACCCGGTGCAGACCGCATCCCCCACACCCGCCTTGGGACTCCACTGCCTTGGGATGTTCCCCAGCAAAGAAAAAGAGGGATGGGCAACAACAAAGTACCCCCCAATGACTGATATACAATTAGGTCCATATATATTTGACAGGCACAATTTTAGTTTTTTCAGGTATTTACCAAAACATATTCAAGCTTATAGTTATGTAATGGATATGGGCTGAAAGTGCACACTCTCAGGTTTAATTTGAGAGTATGTACATCCAAACTGGAGGAAGGGCTTAGGAATTACAGCTCTTAAGAGTAGCCACCCCCCCCTTTTTTTCAAGGGACCAAAAGTAATTGGACAATTGAATCAAAAGCTGTTTCATGGCCAGGTATGGGCTATTCCTTTGTTATTTCTTCATCAATTAAGCAGGTAAAAGGTCTGGAGTTAATTGTAAGTGTGGTATTTGCATTTGGAATCTATTGATGTGAACCTACATCATGCGTTCAAAGGAGCTGTCCATGCAAGTGAAACAGGCCATTGTAAGGCTTCAAAAACAAAACAAATCCTTCAGAGAGATAGTAGCAACATTGGCCAAATCAAGTTTGGTACATTCTGAGGAAAGAACGCACTGGTGAGCTCAGCAACATAAAAAAGCATGGACGTCCACAGAAGACAACAGTAGTGGATGATTGCAGGATCCTCTCTATGGTAAAGAAAACCGCATTCACAACATCCAGACAAATGAAGGACACTCTCCAGGAGGTGGGCGTATCATTGTCAAAATCTACAATCAAGGGAAGACTTCATGAGAGCAAATACAGAGGTTTCAGCACAAGGTACAAACCATTCATAAGTCTGAAGAATAGAAAAGCCAGATTAGACTTTGCCAAAAAACATCTAAAAAAGCAAGCCCAGTTCGGGAAAAGCATTCTTTGGGCAGATGAAACTAAGATTAATCTGTACCATAAGAAAAAAGTGTGGAGAAGGCTTGGAACAGCTCATGATCCAAAGCACACAACTAAAGACAGAAAGACCCACAAACAAAGAATAACTGAAGACAGCTGCAGTTAGAGTCTGGCAAAGCATCAGAAAGGAGGAAACCCAGTCTTTGACAATGTCCATGGGTTCCAGACTTCAGGCAGTCATTGCCAGTAAAGGATTCTCAACAAAATATTAAAAATTAACATTTTATTTACGATTATATTCATTTGTCCAATTAGATTTGAGCCCCTGAAAATGGAGGGACTGTGTAAAAAAATGGTTGCAATTCCTAAAATTTGTACATGATATTTATGTTCAACCCCTTGAATTAAATCTGAAAGTCTGCACTTCAAATTCATTTGGATTGTTTCATTTTAAATTTATTCTGGTGGCATACAGAGCCAAAAGTATGAAAATTGTGCCTGTGTCCAAATATATATGGACCTAACTGTAGGTCACTGATGTAGCACTGTCTGATTCCTGAAGGAGGGTTCAGCTAATTTTATTGCTCTGAGCTCTAAGGTGTTGATGGGGAGCTTTACTTCCCTTAGTGACCAGGTTCCCTGAACCGTGAGAGATTTCAACATGCCTTCCCAGTCTATGAGTTTGCAAAGGTTGAAGGGATTTTTTACACCATCATACATTCTATGCATGAAGGTAAAAAACATTCTGTGTGATGTTCCTTCCACAGCCTCCTCTTGATCCAGTTATGTGCACGGGAGCCTTGGCTATCCTGGATCTCTCTCTACTCATTGGCTGAGACACAGCAGCAAGAGCCATTGGCTCCCACTACTGTCAATCACAGCCAGTGAGCCAATGAAGAGAGAGTGGGGGTGCGGCCAAGCCACAGCTCTATGTGATCTATAGACACAGAGAGAGGAGCTCGGGAGCGAGCACGAACTAGTGCACCCATAGTAAGTGGCTTGCTGTTGGGGGCACTGGTCAAGGGGGAGAAGCCAGGAGCAGGTGACCCGAGAAGAAGAGGATCGGGGCTGCTCTGTGCAAACCATTCTACGCAGCAGGTAAGTGTGACATGAAGATAAAGCCTGGGGAGAGCGATAGGGTGCTCTTTGTTTAGAGGAGGTAGTAGCCCTTGAGGTAGGGGATTTTTAGCCTTCCATTGTGTAAAAAGGACCTTTCCTCCTATGGCCTTTTTATTGAACTTGTCCAAAGCTGCACCAAAAAGCATATGAGGGAGGCGACTTTTACAAGCAGTTTCAGTGGTCCAGCTTTCAGCCATAAGATTCTGCTTGTATAGGGCAGCACAGTGGCTAAATGGTTAGCATTTCCGCCTGGCAGTACTAGGGTCGTTGGTTCGAATCCCAGCCACGGCTCCACCTGCCTGGAGTTTGCATGTTCTCCCTGTGCCTGCGTGGGTTTCCTCCAGGTACTCTGGTTTCCTCCTACACTCCAAAGACATGCTGGTAGGTTAATTGGATCCTGTCTAAATTGGCCCTAGTATGTGTATGTATGAATGTAAGTTAGGAACCTTAGATTGTATACCCTTGAGGGTTAGGGACTGATGTGAATGTACAATATATAATATATATGTGTAAAGCGCTGCGTACATTGACGGCGCTATATAAGTACCTGAAATAAATAAATAAATATAAATGTAAACAAGAGGCATTCTGGAAATGTGTCATGATTTGTTCTACGGTATCAACACAGAAAAGTAGGCAGAAGGCAATGTTTGTAACTGTTCAGCCAAACCTCCTGTTGATTGTTTATTGCCCCAGTTGAATTAGCTGCAGTTTGACAAACAGAAATTGCAACAATGGCTGGTTGCAGGGCTGGACCTTCAAGAGTAAAGATAGCCTTTAACAGCATCTCAATTTTTCTACCTGCAGAATCCTTAAAAGGAGGATCATTTTCTATAGGGATCATAATATGTTTGTTTCAGACTGAAAAGGCAGGGTCTGCTCCCAGAACAGTCCACTTTTTTGTGAACTCGTTTTCCACTGGATAGAGGTTGGCAATGTTTTTCAGTGAGGTGAAAATATTTTCAAGAGTACTCAGATTATAAATTGTCCATTCTATTTGTCCATGAATGGGGAAATTCTATCTAGACTTTTCAGGTCTCTGAGTACCTAGAGGGGCATTGTGAGATGGAGGAGAATCAATTGCAACAACTCCAAGGCTTTTGACCACTGCAAAGGAGAGAATAATAATATTGGCAAGCGCACTGCATGAAGCGCTTTGCATGTAGCCTATCAAGTGTATAGGAGTCTGGGGGTAAGAAATCTTTCACAGCCTTCTACTGTATAACACCACCTCCAGATCCTCTTCATTTTCCTATGTATCTACCACTTCTACAGGAGGTAGTTCCACTTTCAACTCAGGTAGAGAATGTGGAAGTGGTAAAGAAGCATAGCGCTTTTGAACTCTGGACAATAATGACTTTATTAAGGCTGTTAGTTGTCTCTTGACATAATTGCAAAAAATCTGCCTTGGTTAGATAGGTCACTTGGTGTGTGCCTGACATCAAGATAGAATCTGAGCTTTTACCATGGTTTCCTGGAGCCTGGTTTCCACAACTGCTTTGACTAAGAGAATTCCCCTATGGGGTAATCATGAAGTAGGGGGTAAGCGTGTCCATAGAAGGTACATGGCAACCCAGGAGTTAACCATCTTGCAGCTTCTATTGTTATAGCAGAGGGAAGTGAAGAGTTGATTGAAGAATCCAAAATAAAAAAGGCTTGTTAAAGCATACCTATGGTCAAAATGTAAAATCATATATTCATCACCACACTGTATATCAATTATTTCTAGCCTACTCCTAATCTGAATGATCTTGAAGTTTGTAATCTTACTCTGTGAAGCTCCCCACACATTTACTTTCTTGATTTCCGTAACACCTATTCACTATGCCCTGTTCTTAGGCATTGCTGAGTCAAAGCAGTCACAGAGCCAGCCTTCTGAATTAGAGGTGATGAGAGGAGAAATTTCAGGAGACAGAGTGAGTACAGGAATCACCACTTGCAGGGACATGTACCCCTTGGAAATTGCAAGTAAACAGCAGAGAAGTTACCATGATATGTACACATGCTGGTTTATACTTTCTATCATGCATTGAAAACTCTAATAAAATACACTGAAAAAGAAAATTTCTCAAGAAGCGAGAAGTCATCCACCACCCAAGGAATCTAGCAAAAAAGGCCAGAAAGGGTGTGTTTATAAGATTACACTCAGGGGGGTCTGCTCAGCAGAGATTTTGCCAGTGTCCACCTGAAGGTAGCAGCCTGTAATCTAGTCTATGAATATCCAGTGTATATCCTGTACTGTATGATCAAGATTGTACTGCTTTTTGTTATTTTGTTTGATTGGATTCAGATCAGGAGACTTGGCCACTGAATCACTTTCACCCTGTTCTTCTTCAGAAATGCAAGTGGCCTTAGATATGTTTTGGATCATTGTTATGTTGGAAAAATGCACGACAACCCAGGGCACAGAATAATAGTAGCATCTTCTCTTTCAATATAGTACATCTGTGAATTCATGATACCATCAATGAAATGCAGCTCCTTGACACCAGCAGCACTCATGCATCCCCACAGAACACTGCCTCCACCATGTTTCACTGTAGACACCATGCATTTTTCTTTGTACTCCTCACATTTGTGATGCCATACAGTTTTGAAGCCATCAGTTACGAAAACATTTATCTTGGTCTCATCACTCCAGAGTACAACAGAGTCCCAGTTGTCTTCTTTTTCAACAGGGGCCCTGGCAAAGTCTAGGAGGGCTTTTTTGTGCATAGGCTTTAGGAGAGTTTTCCTTTATGGACGACACCCATGCATGCCATTCCTTTGCAGTGTATGTTGTATTGTGTCATGGGAAAACAATCACCCCAGTTTGGATTTCTACTTCTTTAGCTAACTGCATTGAACTTGCAGGGCAATTTTCTTCAACCCTTCTCATCAGAAGACACTCCTTTCAAAGTGTTAACTTCCATGGACGGCCTGGACATCTTTCTGAGATGGCTGCAGTTCCAACTTTGTTAAATTTTTGTATTGCTTTTGCTACAGTATTCTGACTGATAAGTAAAGATTTTCTGATCTTCTTGTAGCCTTTACCTTTATTGTAAAGAAATGATTTTCTTTCTCAGGCCTTGTGACATTTCTCTTCCATGTGGTGCCATTGCTGACAGCATGAAAAGGGAAGGGGTTTTCTTTGTTAAGTAATGCCATTTTATAATAAACTGTCTGCTGGACACCTGTTTAATGAATAATTAAGACTCACTTGTAGTTGAATTATTGTTAATTAGGATTTTGTTGTCTAAAATGTAACTTTGCTCCCAAGACTTTCATTGGGGTGTATTCATTTTGCAAAATGGTCTTAAAAGAATTTGGTTAGGAAAAATCCTTTTTTGTGTGTGAAAATTAACAAATATTGTTTGCAATCAATGGCCCTCATTTGTGTATTTTGTAGTATAGCGTCCCATAGAAAATGCTGCTTCTGAAAAGGAAAGGTTTTCTGACAAATAAGGGTGTACTCATTTAAACTGAGCACTGTATGTGGCCTCAGTGAAGTGGGTTTTCTTTCATGAGGCCACATACAGTGGGGCAAAAAAGTATTTAGTCAGCCACCAATTGTGCAAGTTCTCCCACTTAAAAAGATGAGAGAGGCCTGTAATTGGCATCATAGGTAGACCTCAACTATGAGAGACAAAATGAGAAAAAAAACCCAGACAATCACATTGGCTGATTTGGAAAGAATTTATTTGCAAATTATGGTGGAAAATAAGTATTTGGTCACCTACAACAAGCAAGATTTCTGGCTCTCACAGACCTGTACCTTCTTCTTTAAGAGGCTCCTCTGTCCTGCACTCATTACCTGTATCAATGGCACCTGTTTGAACTTGTTATCAGTATAAAAGATACTTGCCACAACCTCAAACAGTCACACTCCAAACTCCACTATGGTGAAGACCAAAGAGCTGTCGAAGGACACCAGAAACAAAATTGTAGACCTGCACCAGGCTGGGAAGACTGAATCTGCAATAGGCAAGCAGCTTGGTGTGAACAAATCAACTGTGGGAGCAATAATTAGAAAATGGAAGACATACAAGACCACTGATAATCTCCCTCGATCTGGGGCTCCATGCAAGATCTCACCTCGTGGGGTCAAAATGATCACAAGAACGGTGAGCAAAAATCCCAGGACCACACGGGGGGACCTAGTGAATGACCTGCAGAGAGCTGGGACCAAACGTAACAAAGGCTACCATCAGTAACACACTACGCCGCCAGGGACTCGGATCCTGCAGTGCCACACATGTCCCCCTGCTTAAGCCAGTACATGTCCGGGCCCATCTGAAGTTTGCTAGAGAGCATTTGGATGATCCAAAAGAGGATTGGGAGAATGTCATATGGTCAGATGAAACCAAAATAGAACTGTTTGGTAGAAACACAACTCGTCGTGTTTGGAGGGAGAGAGAATGCTGAGTTGCACCCAAAGAACACCATACCTACTGTGAAGCATGGGGGTGGCAACATCATGCTTTTGGGGCTGTTTCCTTGCAAAGGGACCAGGACGACTGATCCATGTACAGGACAGAATGAATGGGGCCATGTATCGTGAGATTTTGAGTGCAAACCTCCTTCCATCAGCAAGGGCATTGAAGATGAAACGTGGCTGGGTCTTCCAACATGACAATGATCCCAAACATACCGCCCGGGCAACGAAGGAGTGGCTTCGTAAGAAGCATTTCAAGGTCCTGGAGTGGCCTAGCCAGTCTCCAGATCTCAACCCCATAGAAAACCTTTGGAGGGAGTTGAAAGTCCGTGTTGCCCAGCGACAGCCCCAAAACATCTCTGATCTAGAGGAGATCTGCATGGAGGAATGGGCTAACATACCAGCAACAGTGTGTGCCAACCTTGTGAAGACTTCCAGGAAACGTTTGACCTCTGTCATTGCCAACAAAGGATATATAACTCAGTACTGAGATGAACTTTTCATATTGACCAAATACTTATTTTCCACCATAATTTGCAAATAAATTCTTTCCAAATCAGCCAATGTGATTGTCTGGATTTATTTTCTCATTTTGTCTCTCATAGTTGAGGTCTACCTATGATGCCAATTACAGGCCTCTCTCATCTTTTTAAGTGGGAGAACTTGCACAATTGGTGGCTGACTAAATACTTTTTTGCCCCACTGTATATGCATCCATGTTTTTGTGCTAGGAGCGTGCTGAACAGTGTGCTCCCAGCACATAGACGGGCTCTCACTGAGAACCCTAGGTTTTGTAATAACAATCAGCTGTGAGTCCCAGATCCTGATCAACTGATTGCTGTGATAGTCGCAGATTTGCTATCACAGTGATCAGTCACTGTTTATCCTCTCTGTGATTTTTTATTTCTCCTCTGAACGACAAGCATAAATTTTAGCTTTTTCTCCTTGCCAGAGGAGAAAAATGCAAACAAACAAAAGTGTGAGCAAAAAAATAAAGAAAAATTAGGCAGATCAGGGATTCATCTAGGTCAGTGTCAATAGTCAAGGTATTTTAGGTAAGATTAAAAAAAAAATTTCTTTTAAATTTAGTTATATTTCTTGCTATTACCATAACTTACCACCAAAGACTAATACAAAAAATACATTTTCCTGCTCCTGGCGATCATAGTGATATCACATGTGTATGGTATTTGTTGTTTGTACCCCAGGAACAACTGTGTGAATTTAGGGGGGTTTTTTTTATCCTATCTAAAACTAACTGACACTGATGCTGATTTAAAACAAATTGGTTTTTTTGTTTCTTTTATTATTTTGGACCAGTTTTTTTGTTTAAAAAAAAATAAAAATCAGAAGATATCTATTACCATTTACCACCAAATGAAAGCCCAATTTGTCCTATAAAAAACAAGGTATAACCCCCCTGGATATACAAAGTACCGTAGTTACAATGATATGTACAGTTTTACTAACACATGTCAAAGTTGAAAAATTGAGTTCAGGTGTTAGGATTTATTTTAGACCCATAAGTTCTAAAATAAAGTTCTTTTACCACTCAATATGTTATCAAAATATGTATTCAACCTGTCTCTTAATCTACTGGTAGTGCAAACTGAACATTGCTTTGATTTTTTGTTATGTAGCATCAATACACGTTCTAATGCAATTGTGATAACGGTTTATGCTATAAATAGGTTTTCAATTTTATATACATATATAAATTATATACACATATATATATTGCATAATGAAATATATGTTTAAATAATAAAGGGGGTAATGATCATGTGGAAATAATGTTACTATTTAATGGGTAGTGAATTTGTTATTCTTTGAGAAAGCAATGTCCCTAGCACCAAACATGTGAGAATAGAACTTTTTCCTGCTGACTTCTTTAGTAAAGGAAGAATTTTTTGCATCTCAATGTGCAGTTTTACTTTTTATGGTACAATTGACTGCACTAGTGGAGATGAACCGAGTCAGCACCTGACTGTGATGTGTGTTGCCTGATCTCACCTGGAGCGGAATGTGAAATATTTAACATTGGATATATTCTTCTTCTCTTCTTTAGCCTAAAATCCACTTCCTGACATCTCTATAACTGTAAGTAATGCTGTTATTTTCCCTATCCTAACAGTATTCTGCATTGGGGTCACCCTTTAATCAGCTCTCTCCATCATCACTCACATTCAGAACATCTCTAAATCCATCAACTTTGGCAGCATCTCTAAAAAAAGGGAGAAGTTAATTCCTAGTTTAGGCCTTCATAATCTCTCACCTTGACTAATGCAATATTGTGCTAATTGCCATTTGTACTGACACAGAAACAAACCTCTGACCTCTACAACCTACCTTAAATGTTCACAATAGTAAAATTAAGGGACACATATCACACAGCTCAACCACATCTGCTGGTAAAACTAACAGAGGCTTCAGCGCTACAGTCCATCTTGGCCATGACACTGAATCGCTTCACCCTGATTGGGCTTAGCTGCTTCCTAACTTTGCAATAATGAAATGAGACATGCTCTTAAAAGGGCTGGCAACTACTGTGGAAGGAGGACAGACGGAATAACAAATGGGAGGTGTTTCGGCAGTGCTATTTTTTAAATGTGGCTACCTTGAATGTTGCTACAAGAGTTATCTATCTCTATTGTGTTTTGCCGTGAAAGTACTATACAATTCATCCACACCTATATTGTAGACTCAAAATTATAATGCACATTAGAAGACCCTAATGGATGACTTACCAAAACCATTACTGAGGATAGGCACTGTACATTACCTTACAGCTGAGTTAAACATTTATAAGAGCAAGAGACTCCTAAATATCACAGCATATGGTTCTTTTCACAATGTTAAGACACCAATAAATTACTCTTTTTATTAAGCCGTTACCATTTTTCTAGCAAAAAAGCATTCTATGATATCTGTGCCTGGCACTATCATTTATGGAATATACACCCTATTAGCCATTACATTATAATCACCCGCCATAATCTATGGAGGCATGGATTCCATTAGACATGTGAAGGTATGATGTGGTGTCTTGCACCAAGCCAACAGTAGCAGATCCTGTACAAGGAGCCTCCATGGATCGGACTTGTTTTTTTCAGCACTTCTCACAGTTGCTCAATTGGATTGAGATCTGGAGAATTTGGGGTCCATTAACTCGTGTTGTGTTCCTCACACCATTCTCAAATTCATCAGACCAGACCAACTTTTTTCATTGCTCTGTGGTCCAGTTCTAATGCTCACATGCCCATTGTAGGCACTTTTGGCTGTGGACATGGGTCAGCATAGGCAACTTGCCTGGTCTGTGACTACACAACCCCATACACAACAAACTGTATTGCTATGTGTGTTCTGACGTCTTTCTATTGAATCCAATATTAACTTTTTCAGCAATTTGAGCTACAATATTTTTTCTATTGGATTGGAACTACATAGACCAGCCTTCCCTCCCCAC